AGTCAGCCTAGTAGTCATTCTGGTGGATTCTAGATGATTGCTTAGAAAATCCGGCTTGGGCAGTCAGCTTGCTGTTCCGTATTGGTGGATTCCATAAGAGCGGTAAAGTTGGGCGTGTAAAAGCGATCCAAGTGTGATTTAACTCACAGTGTTAGGCGTGAAATTTATAGCTCAACTGGTGGAGCATTGGCTTCGCATTAGGGCCTTCCCTGTTATGCGGGTTTAAATCCTACCGAATGTTGCGAGGTTTTTTCACAATTGGGTCAACTAAAGTAAAATATATCGTTCGTAGATTTGTTTGGTAGAAAATCCTGCGTGTATTCACCCTTACAATTCAATGAAAGGGTATCATATAATTTTGAACCACTTTATTTTTCGATTCCCAACTCCATGGTTAATGCGATCTGCCGCTGCTATTGATTTTAGCGTTTATAGCCTACAGGCTGTATACTTTGAATGTAAAGAAAATTGCACAGCACCCCAGGCAATAAAAAGATGCCATATGGTGCGCATAAAATTCGGCGACCGATTTCCACTATGTTTATGTTTCGTAAGATACATAAATCGTTTAACGCATAAGAGGCTTTTTGAATGGATATATGAAGTCTAAAATATGTATAATTATCAGATATTTCAAACTAAAATTTAACCTTTTCTTTGAGGGTATGATTTGAAGATGTGGTGTTTCGCTAAACATACATGAAGTGAATGATTTGTACGCTCTTTTATATAAAATATAGTTGAACTTCTAAGGTCATCGAAAACCCCTGGCATGATTTAATGATACACAAGTAGTCACTTTTTGCAGAAATGTCGGAAGAAACCTACATAAAAGCCACTACACTAGATTGACCTAGATATAGTTTGGCTCGACCGCACTATAATTCGCATTACAACCCAACAAACATAACGTTTCTAATCGAAAAAAACATTCCGGAATTGTGATTGGCATTTAGTGAGGTTGGTCAGTTATTGTAATCGAACATGACGTATCACACTATGGACTCAATAGCTTTAGCGCGTATTCGAACCAGCGCATGACATGTTCATTCTCAACTACCTACTAATTATTTTTTTAAATAAATCAGTAGCAACTGCCGGGCTGTGAAGGGGAAAAAGTAATAAAGAAGACATTAACCGCACTTGTACTGCGGTTCGGAGGGCTTTGATGGGACTTTCATGCCTTATTTTGTATTACAATTATCAAGTAAAAATAACTGGCCTAGGTACATTTTACCTTGAGGTCAGATATTTATCAAGAAACACGAACTTATTTAGTGGTGGCTTGGCTTATGTCCCTCAGGTGTGGTCCAACTAACGAAACGAGTATGTTTTTGAATGCGATAACCCTTATTTTATAAAGTAAGTCTCCGACTTTTTGTATATATTTTCCCTTTTAATTATGCTTACGCTTGGTGTGAGTGTGCCTGTGCCTGTGCAATCTCGGGAGATAACGCCCTTGTTTAACTGACTGAGTTCTGCTTCCTATGGTTACGACCTAACATTTGCGTTTTTACATATCTCTGCTTTAAACTGAAGGAAAAACCGCAAGAAGCCGTACTTGTTGTCATGGGAAAGACACTGCTTTTTCGACGTCCTTTAAACGCGGACGCTGAAAAAAGAAAACAAAAAACTCCTAAAGACGGCGTGAGAAAAATGAAACTTGAGAAATATTCGTAAGAACGAGCAAGTGCGTATGTTCAATATTCAGAAATCTTAAGGCATTAAAGAGTGGATAAATATGTGCAGGCTTAATCACTGATACTGGAACTCAAGGATTCTGACATTATATTGCACTGAGGCAAGCAGACATGGCCTGCTGTTTGTGTTCCCTGACCTGTGTGGGCAATTTTCTGTAAAGTAGATTAGACCACATGGAAACTAAGGTGTTGGATTTTATTAAGTGTCCTAACGTTATTCTTCTTGTTCGCCTTCCTATCAGATAATTATTCGGTAACAATAAAACTGGTCTACCAGCTTAGATAACCCCGGTCTCAGAATTCTGTCTTACAGGACCCGTTGTATTAGTATAGTTTAGTTTTGCATGGGACGAAACCTGCATTATTGGCTCTTGTCTATTCAAGAAAGGTCGTGAATTTGTCGAAGCTATGCACTCGGACGCACAATGCATAAACAGGCACATCGAGTTGGAGTCGTATTGCCGAAGCCTCAAGCAAGAGTGGGCAAGGCGCGAGCCGATCCGAACGGAATGAAACACAGGGCCACAGGGTGCGGACGCTAACGCCACGCCACGGCATTATCAATTTTTGCCACGAACTCTTGATGTTAGTTGTTTTTGGCACATGCACTTTTATCTGCGTCTGAAGACGAGCTGGGGCTTCAGTTTCGGAAATTTAACCAATAAACTATCGTTTCCCAAAGTATTTCTTCCATCGAATTATATCTTGGGATGCCGATTTTCCAGTTTACTTTTACTTTATTTAGCTGTATTAGCCTTATGGTAATTATCTAATCGGAGTTTTATGAAAAGCACGCAGTCCTGTAGCTTCTAAACAGGCACCGATGGCTTCTTTGCTTACATTGCGGCTATAAACTATTCCTCAGTAACCTTTGATGTGCCTTTTAGTCTTTTAGGCGATAAGGCCGAAGGGATCTTACCTAAAAGACCATTGAAATGAAGTCGAAAAAGTATGCAGCTTTTACGAATTTTACTATTAGCAGATGTAACAGACAACTCTGTTTTCACCCCCTTTTAAGTTCCGCGGAAAAAAACTCAGGCCACATTGATTGCGTCTTTTCCAGACCTATCCATTACACAGTTGAATAAAAAGAGGCCCGCTTCAAAGCAAGTCTTTTGTCGCCCCTTTTTAATTTTCTCCGCGATGAAGCGTGTTATTCTGAGTGTCTCATCTGAAGGAAATCATTTAGGCAGGATGTAGGGATTTTTATGAATATTTGAGTTTTTAAATATCATGAGAATACTCTGCACTAGCTGATAAGTTGCAACTCATATATTTCTATAAAATTTCTGCCAAAACACAAAAAGTTGTTTGCAAGAATTTGCTTACTATCTTAATCACCATGGAAAATCTAGCATTGAAAACCCCGATTTTAAAGCTAAAATGAAGTTCGGGAAAACGGGCAAAAAATCAAAGGGTATGAAACCCCGAAACTACGTCATGCAACATCAGCACAGCAGCAAAACGTTTGTCTGGGCATTTGGGTAGTATCTGGACTGTTACTATGGCAAATTTGTCCGTACTCGAAAACCTGTTTTTGGAATATTTCTCTCCTGCGCTGTTTAGCTTATGTTTATAAGGATAAGTATATAAGTATTTTTAAGTATTCCTAATGCCATTTAACTGTTCCAGCACACCTAGCATGCAATCCAAGCACCAACCCAATGGTTGCCAATGAGTTTTGGGAATCAAGGCGTCAGTTGAATTTGGAAGTTGTCAATAGAACATAGCAATGGATGAACACATTTCATAAATTGTTACTTAAGTCAACTGTAAAGTAAGACAGGTAGTTTCACCGGTTAGTCACTTCAAAGTCTTTCTACACTGGAAAATTTAAGAAGTTGTAATAAGTAGTAGTTTGTACGAGAAAGAGGAAATTGTGCTATGTTACAGTTTTCTTAAATACATGTTTTACGTCGTCGAAAAAATGATCCGAAAGGACACACAAACCTGAATGGCCATCGCGGGAATGTTACGGGTGCGAGCATATGGATGTGAAATATCATGAATAAACTCCGCTTTGACGAGAAAAAAACAGTTGAATAACTTAGTTATTTATCTAGCCAGAGGGAGGCTCCTCAGCTCTGTCCAACTGCAGGCCAGAGCGTCTTTCCAAGTCAATTCTGGCAAAGCAGTCAATTTTCGCATGAGCAATTGTTTGGTGAGAAGCACTATGCAACACCATCCGTTTACAGATAAGGACGACCCACACGCCTATAATCGGAGTTCGTGTGCTGTCCCCCTAAATTCGGACCAGGAACCAAATATACTGCTCCGAACTTTCTAATTGATGGCGTTGAGAGCGTCGGCACTTATTCTGCATATCGGCCGTGGGTAATATTACGATTTTTCCCCCAAAGGCTGCTGCAAACGCACACAAATACTCTTTTCTATCGTCCGTGTGACAAGTAAATTCCTCTCGGTGTACTATAATGATTTCTTGAGATAGGACCACTAATAAGGACTATGTTTCTACCTTTTCCACATCCTGGCGGGACTCCAGGGCCTTTCCAAACAGACCAGCTTCAGCATCGACGCCCGCGAAGAAGGCCGATCCCGGTTCATGCGTCGGCGTATGTGCTGTGCCATGGGCTGCAGTATGGTCGAATTCCCGCGAGGCAGTCGTCGTGATCGTAGGAATGACAGGTGTCTGCGATGTTGAGGGCACCTGTTGCTGTTGTTGTTGATGCTGTTGGAGCAGCGTCCTGTTACGCGTTACGGATCGTGCCAAACGAGCGAACTTGTTCAGTCCCACTGAAAACAAAAATGAGGGCATCCTAAAACCGGGTTTATCGCCGAACTATTTGCCCATTGTTTGCAGTCTATCCCTAGGACCTGAAAAGGAAGTTGATTTAGGCAATTTCATGGCACCCGTATACATCACCCTCCTAGTCCATTGATGGTTGTATATTCGCCCCTACCTGACATATTGATGTGTGTGTAGTTTTTTCCTACTGTACGTTTTTAGTCTAAGGTAGGTTATTTTTATTCGTGACTGGAAGTTTATTAACACTGAGTACAGTGTATTAATTGGTCAGTATACGTTTATGGAGAGTGAATAGTTGCAGACTCTAAACTGACATCTGTAAATCGTTTATTCATAAAAAGGAGGTGTTTTTTCGAAGGTTGAGGTTATTTCGAAATAGGAGACAACAGGTTGGCGAAATGTGCACCTATTTTTTCGGCGGCTTGATACGAGTTCTTTTCATTTTAACAAAAATTCTCAAGGCTTACTGTGCAGTAGATGGATGGTTAGAAAAAAATGCAGAAGGATTCATGGCAGAGCAATCCTTCTATATACAAGAAATATTCTGTTGCGATATCGATAATGTATAATCCACTCTGGCAGAAGATACTGCCGGGGAGTAAAGCTGTCTGTATATCTTACAGTTTTCGAGTAGCACTATAATACACATGTAAGGATCTTCCTCCATTTAAATAACTTCAAATCGAATGCTAATCATATTCGTACTTAGAAATTCGGCAAAAATTCCCATTTCTTTTACGATTGAAAAGTCGTGTTGGCA